TACACATCTTTCTTTCAGACTTTTCTGGTACTATTATTACTCTTTGGTATCTTGAAGTTGAACACTCCCCATCCTCCATACATTAAGATTGTTAATATATGACTGAAGCCAAACATCTTTTCCACTGGGGAAAAGAGGAGGTCCCTTTTCATTACGTCAAACAGCTGGTGATCATGGGAGCCTGAACCAAAGTGGAGTGGGGGCTGTAGTATGGAGGAGAATTAGGCAAAATCAAGTGGAAAAGCTGACTGGATCCAACCCACCAAAACGCCTTTTTCTTGGGAAGGTGATATCTGAACACTCTTTTATGCTTTCTTTCTAAGTATTTTCTTTTACTTAATTTTCTATATTTGGCGGTGCTCATTAAACATGACCACTTCTGACAATGTTATAGCTCCTCATGGATTTTCTACTCTTGCATTCAAGTTTATCTACTTCATTTCTCCTTACTTAGGCTTAGATGACAGAACTCACTTAGCCAAGTTTGCAGTTGCCCATTTTAACTGGGGGAGGGGGCTGTCAGGTTCAACAGTCTCCTTGAATATATGAAACGAAATCTGTGCATAGTATACATGAATCATAAATACGTCTATTTAAACCAAGCTGTCTTGCCTCAACTGTTCTTTTTATTTATGTTTATTCATTGATTTGATTTGATTTATATCCTGCCCTCCCCCGCAAGAGGGCTCAGAGCGGGTCACAACATTTCATTAAACAAAATAGTGACATGAAAACATTACAATGAAGCAGAACAAACAATTTAAGTAAAACTAACATTAACACGAAATGTCAAGCCAAATTTCAGTCTAACCAGAATAAGACAGCAATCATTCAAGGCAATTCATGGCGCCTCCTGCAAGATGCTGCATGAGATGGTAATGAAGAGCCATCTGTTTCCGGTGATGCTCTGTTGACCTCTTTGAGCACAGCAAATTGCAGCAGCAACTGCAAGCACTGCAAACAAAACACTGTGCTTCTTATGGAATTAGATACAGGATGGAAAAGGATGGCCTTACGCTTCTTATGAAGAAGAAAAGATTGGATTTATACCCCGCCCTTCACTTGGAGTCTCAGAGCAGCTCACAAACTCCTTTCCCTCCCCCTCCCCACAACAGACACCCTGTGAGGTAGGTGGGGCTGAGAGAACAATGACACAAACTGCTCTTTCAGGAACAGCTGTGCCAGAGCTTGTGACTGACCCAAGGTCACATCAGCAGGTGCAAGTGGAGGAGTGGGGAATCACACCCGGTTCTCCCAGATTAGAGTCCGTGCACTTAACCACTACACCAAACTGGCTTATGGAAGGCAGACAACACTGGAGCTTTTGTTTAGGCCTACTGTGATGAGGCTGTTTGCCACCCCAGTTGCTCCCAGTGCTGCAGTCTGGCTGAATCCTCCCTTCAAGCTGTCTGCTGGGCCAGAACACAAGCTGGCATTACACAGTGTTATCCACAAAGAGGTGGAGACATGGGGCCGGATTAAGAAGTGCTGAGGCCCTTAGCTATGGTAAGTTTAAGAGGCCCCTTAACATTATCAACAAATTGATTGTTTAATAATTTTTAGTGGGGTTTTGTTTTTGCATTTAGAAGCCCTTCATATTCTGAGGCCTCAAACTGCAATGTGCTTCGCTTGTACAAAAATCTAGCTCCAATGCTGTCTGCAATGAAGAAACGTATTATATATTTCAAAATTACAGTTCAAAATACACGAACCAAAATGTCTAATTAAATCAGCAACAGAACCAGTCTGTCAGAGTCACTAAATTATATTTTGATTGTGGATAACTAGAGTGTATGTTTTATTTTTAGAGATGCTGTGAGGACGATCACATGAACTCAAAGCACACTCAGTCTTTATCATTTCCATTTTTTCTCAGGTATAGCCACAAGAAGAGCCAAGAAGACATTTTCCACTCTCTGATATTTCTCCCAGTTCTTCCTAACTGGCATGTTTAATCACATATTCTGTGCTACAGCATCTCAGCTAACTTTTATACTAAAATACTGTGCAAATATACAAACGGGAGCACAATATGATAAACACGTTAAACAAAAGATCTTAAAAAAAGTTTATATTTGGCATCATTTGTTCAGTGCACCAAACTTGGGTTTCTTGACACAAGCTCCAGATTTGGAAATAAAATTTTCCATGAGACAAGTCTCTGGCTTCCCTTTGAAACAAAGTCCCTGTAGTCCCCAAGACTCCTCTACTTCCCAATACCTGTTTCTTTTCTCGGATTTGGGCTTCAATCCGTGTCCCACCCATCAGGCCCTCAAAGGCATAGACAGCTGCTTCACCATCTAGAGGGAAGACAAAGACAGCCTCCACGGGGTTCTCTTCTTCATTCTTATACCGAAGCTCAGAAGCTACATCAGCCACGAAGCCGTGGACCACCACATCCACAGAGATGCTTTGCAAGGGCACTGGGTCAAGGAAACAGTGAACGTTTATTTATTTATTTAATGTATACCTCGCCCTCCCCGCCGAAGCAGGCTCAGAGCGGCTTACATAAAAAATTGTTAAACAGATAAAAACAAGCAAGTCACAATATAAATATAAGTATATTTAATATATAAGCCACATCAGCTCAAGGGGTGGCCCAGCCCATGGCAAGAGAACTTGAGCCCAGACTTGAAAGCTCATTAACCACCAGGGGGAAGAAGGAAGAACCACATCTAGTAGTCACACACTGGCTTATCCTTGCTCCATACTGAACTGGGCAG